GTGTCCCGGGTGGCCGCCGTGCTGTGCTGTGTCTGTGTCCCGGTTGGCCGCCGTGCTGTGTTGTGTCTGTGTCCCGGGTGGCCGCCGGGCTGTGCTGTGTCTGTGTCCCGGGTGGCCGCCGTGCTGTGTCTGTGTCCCGGGTGGCCGCCGTGCTGTGTCGTGTCTGTGTCCCGGGTGGCCGCTGTGTCGTGTCTGTGTCTGTGTCCCGGGTGGCCGCTGTGTCGTGTCTGTGTCCCGGGTGGCCGCTGTGCTGTGTCTGTGTCCCGGGTGGCCGCCGTGCTGTGTTGTGTCTGTGTCCCGGGTGGCCGCCGTGCTGTGTCTGTGTCTGTGTCCCAGGTGGCCGCCGTGCTGTGTCGTGCTATGTCCCGGGTGGCCGCCGTGCTGTGTCTGTGTCCCGGGTGGCCGCCGTGCTGTGCTGTGTCTGTGTCCCGGTTGGCCGCCGTGCTATGTCGTGTCTGTGTCACGGGGGGCCGCCGTGCTGTGCTGTGTCTGTGTCCCGGGTGGCCGCCGTGCTGTGCTGTGTCCCGGGTGGCCGCCGTGCTGTGCTGTGTCCCGGGTGGTCGCCGTGCTGTGTCTGTGTCCCGGGGGCCGCCGTGCTGTGTCGTGTTTGTGTCCCGGGTGGCCGCTGTGCTGTGTCTGTGTCCCGGGTGGCCGCCGTGCTGTGTCCCGGGTGGCTGCCGTGCTGTGTCTGTCCCGGGTGGCCGCCGTGCTGTGTCTGTGTCCCGGTTGGCCGCCGTGCTGTGTCTGTGTCCCGGGTGGCCGCCGTGCTGTGTCTGTGTCTGTGTCCTGGGTGGCCGCCGTGCTGTGTCGTGTCTGTGTCCCGGGTGGCCGCCGTGCTGTGTCGTGTTTGTGTCCCGGGTGGCCGCCGTGCTGTGTCGTGTTTGTGTTCCGGGTGGCCGCCGTGCTGTGTCGTGTCCCGGGTGGCCGCCGTGCTGTGTCTGTGTCTGTGTCCCAGGTGGCCGCTGTGCTGTGTTGTGTCTGTGTCCCGGGTGGCCGCTGTGCTGTGTTGTGTCTGTGTCCCGGCTGGCCGCCGTGCTGTGTTGTGTCCCGGGGGGCCGCCGTGCTGTGTCCCGGGTGGCCGCCGTGCTGTGTTTGTGTCCCGGGTGGCCGCCGTGCTGTGTCGTGTTTGTGTCCCGGGTGGCCGCCGTGCTGTGTCTGTGTCCCGGGTGGCCGCTGTGCTGTGTCTGTGTCCCGGATGGCCGCCGTGCTGTGTCGTGTCCCGGGTGGCCGCCGTGCTGTGTCTGTGTCTGTGTCCCGGGTGGCCGCTGTGCTGTGTCGTGTCTGTGTCCCGGGTGGCCGCCGTGCTGTGTCTGTGTCCCGGGTGGCCGCCGTGCTGTGCTGTGTCCCGGGTGGCCGCCGTGCTGTGCTGTGTCCCGGGTGGCCGCCGTGCTGTGCTGTGTCCCGGGTGGTCGCCGTGCTGTGTCTGTGTCCCGGGTGGCCGCCGTGCTGTGTCTGTGTCTGTGTCCCGGGTGGCCGCCGTGCTGTGTCGTGTTTGTGTCCCGGGTGGCCGCTGTGCTGTGTCTGTGTCCCGGGTGGCCGCCGTGCTGTGTCCCGGGTGGCTGCCGTGCTGTGTCTGTCCCGGGTGGCCGCCGTGCTGTGCTGTGTCCCGGGTGGCCGCCGTGCTGTGCTGTGTCCCGGGTGGTCGCCGTGCTGTGTCTGTGTCCCGGGTGGCCGCCGTGCTGTGTCGTGTCTGTGTCCCGGGTGGCCGCCGGGCTGTGTCTGTGTCCCGGGTGGCCGCCGTGCTGTGTCGTGTCCCGGGTGGCCGCCGTGCTGTGTCTGTGTCTGTGTCCCGGGTGGCCGCTGTGCTGTGTCGTGTCTGTGTCCCGGGTGGCCGCCGTGCTGTGTCTGTGTCCCGGGTGGCCGCCGTGCTGTGTCGTGTTTGTGTCCCGGGTGGCCGCCGTGCTGTGTCTGTGTCCCGGGTGGCCGCCGTGCTGTGTCGTGTCCCGGGTGGCCGCCGTGCTGTGTCTGTGTCTGTGTCCCGGGTGGCCGCTGTGCTGTGTCGTGTCTGTGTCCCGGGTGGCCGCCGTGCTGTGTCTGTGTCCCGGGTGGCCGCCGTGCTGTGTCGTGTTTGTGTCCCGGGTGGCCGCCGTGCTGTGTCTGTGTCCCGGGTGGCCGCCGTGCTGTGTCTGTGTCCCGGGTGGCCGCCGTGCTGTGTCTGTCCCGGGTGGCCGCCGTGCTGTGTCTGTGTCCCGGGGGACCGCCGTGCTGTGTCTGTGTCCCGGGTGGCCGCCGTGCTGTGTCTGTGTCTGTGTCCTGGGTGGCCGCCGTGCCGTGCTGTGTCTGTGTCCTGGGTGGCCGCCGTGCTGTGTCGTGTCTGTGTCCCGGGTGGCCGCCGTGCTGTGTCTGTCCCGGGTGGCCGCCGTGCTGTGTCTGTGTCACGGGGGACCGCCGTGCTGTGTCTGTGTCTGTGTCCCGGGTGGCCGCCGTGCTGTGTCTGTGTCCCGGGTGGCCGCCGTGCTGCGTTGTGTCTATGTCCCGGTTGGCCGCTGTGCTGTGTCTGTGTCTGTGTCCCGGGTGGTCGCCGTGCTGTGTCGTGCTATGTCCCGGTTGGCCGCCGTGCTGTGTCGTGCTGTGTCCCGGGGGGGCCGCCGTGCTGTGTCGTGCTGTGTCCCGGGGGGCCGCCGTGCTGTGTCTGTGTCTGTGTCCCGGGTGGCCGCCGTGCTGTGCTGTGTCTGTGTCCCGGTTGGCCGCCGTGCTATGTCGTGTCTGTGTCACGGGGGGCCGCCGTGCTGTGCTGTGTCTGTGTCCCGGGTGGCCGCCGTGCTGTGCTGTGTCCCGGGTGGCCGCCGTGCTGTGCTGTGTCCCGGGTGGTCGCCGTGCTGTGTCTGTGTCCCGGGGGCCGCCGTGCTGTGTCGTGTTTGTGTCCCGGGTGGCCGCTGTGCTGTGTCTGTGTCCCGGGTGGCCGCCGTGCTGTGTCCCGGGTGGCTGCCGTGCTGTGTCTGTCCCGGGTGGCCGCCGTGCTGTGTCTGTGTCCCGGTTGGCCGCCGTGCTGTGTCTGTGTCCCGGGTGGCCGCCGTGCTGTGTCTGTGTCTGTGTCCTGGGTGGCCGCCGTGCTGTGTCGTGTCTGTGTCCCGGGTGGCCGCCGTGCTGTGTCGTGTTTGTGTCCCGGGTGGCCGCCGTGCTGTGTCGTGTTTGTGTTCCGGGTGGCCGCCGTGCTGTGTCGTGTCCCGGGTGGCCGCCGTGCTGTGTCTGTGTCTGTGTCCCAGGTGGCCGCTGTGCTGTGTTGTGTCTGTGTCCCGGGTGGCCGCTGTGCTGTGTTGTGTCTGTGTCCCGGCTGGCCGCCGTGCTGTGTTGTGTCCCGGGGGGCCGCCGTGCTGTGTCCCGGGTGGCCGCCGTGCTGTGTTTGTGTCCCGGGTGGCCGCCGTGCTGTGTCGTGTTTGTGTCCCGGGTGGCCGCCGTGCTGTGTCTGTGTCCCGGGTGGCCGCTGTGCTGTGTCTGTGTCCCGGATGGCCGCCGTGCTGTGTCGTGTCCCGGGTGGCCGCCGTGCTGTGTCTGTGTCTGTGTCCCGGGTGGCCGCTGTGCTGTGTCGTGTCTGTGTCCCGGGTGGCCGCCGTGCTGTGTCTGTGTCCCGGGTGGCCGCCGTGCTGTGCTGTGTCCCGGGTGGCCGCCGTGCTGTGCTGTGTCCCGGGTGGCCGCCGTGCTGTGCTGTGTCCCGGGTGGTCGCCGTGCTGTGTCTGTGTCCCGGGTGGCCGCCGTGCTGTGTCTGTGTCTGTGTCCCGGGTGGCCGCCGTGCTGTGTCGTGTTTGTGTCCCGGGTGGCCGCTGTGCTGTGTCTGTGTCCCGGGTGGCCGCCGTGCTGTGTCCCGGGTGGCTGCCGTGCTGTGTCTGTCCCGGGTGGCCGCCGTGCTGTGCTGTGTCCCGGGTGGCCGCCGTGCTGTGCTGTGTCCCGGGTGGTCGCCGTGCTGTGTCTGTGTCCCGGGTGGCCGCCGTGCTGTGTCGTGTTTGTGTCCCGGGTGGCCGCCGTGCTGTGTCTGTGTCCCGGGTGGCCGCCGTGCTGTGTCGTGTCCCGGGTGGCCGCCGTGCTGTGTCTGTGTCTGTGTCCCGGGTGGCCGCTGTGCTGTGTCGTGTCTGTGTCCCGGGTGGCCGCCGTGCTGTGTCTGTGTCCCGGGTGGCCGCCGTGCTGTGTCGTGTTTGTGTCCCGGGTGGCCGCCGTGCTGTGTCTGTGTCCCGGGTGGCCGCCGTGCTGTGTCGTGTCCCGGGTGGCCGCCGTGCTGTGTCTGTGTCTGTGTCCCGGGTGGCCGCTGTGCTGTGTCGTGTCTGTGTCCCGGGTGGCCGCCGTGCTGTGTCTGTGTCCCGGGTGGCCGCCGTGCTGTGTCGTGTTTGTGTCCCGGGTGGCCGCCGTGCTGTGTCTGTGTCCCGGGTGGCCGCCGTGCTGTGTCTGTGTCCCGGGTGGCCGCCGTGCTGTGTCTGTCCCGGGTGGCCGCCGTGCTGTGTCTGTGTCCCGGGGGACCGCCGTGCTGTGTCTGTGTCCCGGGTGGCCGCCGTGCTGTGTCTGTGTCTGTGTCCTGGGTGGCCGCCGTGCCGTGCTGTGTCTGTGTCCTGGGTGGCCGCCGTGCTGTGTCGTGTCTGTGTCCCGGGTGGCCGCCGTGCTGTGTCTGTCCCGGGTGGCCGCCGTGCTGTGTCTGTGTCACGGGGGACCGCCGTGCTGTGTCTGTGTCTGTGTCCCGGGTGGCCGCCGTGCTGTGTCTGTGTCCCGGGTGGCCGCCGTGCTGCGTTGTGTCTATGTCCCGGTTGGCCGCTGTGCTGTGTCTGTGTCTGTGTCCCGGGTGGTCGCCGTGCTGTGTCGTGCTATGTCCCGGTTGGCCGCCGTGCTGTGTCGTGCTGTGTCCCGGGGGGGCCGCCGTGCTGTGTCGTGCTGTGTCCCGGGGGGCCGCCGTGCTGTGTCTGTGTCTGTGTCCCGGGTGGCCGCTGTGCTGTGTCGCTGTCTGTGTCCCGGGGGGCCGCCGTGCTGTGTCGCTGACTGCAGCTCTGCTCCGCTGCCCTGTGCCGGCTCGCAGAGGACATGGTCCGCCAGCTGGAGATAACTGGCAGCGCGGCCGTCGTGGCGCACCCGTCGCTGCTCGCCACGGTGCGCGCCGCCGCCGCCCGGGTGCCCAGTGTGCGCGAGGTGATCTGCACGGGCGCGGACGCGCCGCCGGACGGCGTGCTGGCGTTCTCTGAGCTGGCGCGGGCGGGGCGCGAGCAGACGCCGGTGGTGGACGTGGACCTGGCCCGGCACCCACTGCTGCTGCTCTTCTCCAGTGGCACCACCGGCCCGCCCAAGGGCGTGACGCTAACCAACTACTCGGTCGGCTCCAACATGCTGCAGACCGCCTCCGCAGACTTCTCCTGGGAAACACCCGGTGAGTGACCAAAAGGCCTGCAAAGATACGTCACTGCACCCGCCCGGTAAGTTGACCAAAGACTGCGCACTGCGTAGCCTTCAAAGACAGATCCTGGGAAACACCCGATGAGTTGACCTGGGCCTACACATTTGTTCTGGGAAACCCCGGTGTGTTTTTTGTCCAGTAAACCACGATCCAACTCATAACGGAAATAGTTATACCATTTCTAACATGTGGTTTGGAACTGAATTAGCACTTTTGCAGGCCAGCTTGAGGTGAAAATAATTGAAAAAGAACCATTCTGAAGCTTTTACGCCCTAACGATCACCCTAGCCAAATATCTGTTGATTTTAATATGTATGTACCATTGTACCTACTTCGGTCGCTTTTCAGCTCTAACGTGCACCATCATTTCTGAAATTTTGTGACAAGTTCACAGATAAGGAATGGAGGAATGGACATAACGTGAGAGGGACGGCCGGCCGATCATCAGCCAATGTAACGTTCGAGCAGAGTCTGTGCGGCGCTATAGTTAACGGAAGATAACGTTGTTATATGTTCGTTAACGGGCTAGCGCCGGACAGCGGCGAGACGGTCCTCCGAATAGCCGCGCCGCCGCCCGGGGCGGCCCCGCCGGCGGCGCGGCCCTCTCGGACGGGACGGGAGGGGACGGGAGACGCTTCCCCAGTGCGTGGGCGCTCGGCGCGCGCGGCGGAGGCGCGCCCCCGCGCGCCGAGAGGAGCGTCCGTCGGGTTCGATTTTTTTTCTTTCTTTTTCAGCTCGTCGACCGTCCCTCTCACATCGCGTAAGGAATGGAGGAATGGACATAACGTGAGAGGGACGGCCGGCCGATCATCAGCCAATGTAACTCCCGATAACGTGAGGTCGGCAGTGGGGGAGGGGAGGGGAACTGCGCTGTCCGCTGTCGGAGCCGGAGAGCGCGGGTGGGTGTCGTCTTACAATGGACACACGCGGAGTGGGTCTTTAACGCAATTACCTGCCAGCGGGATGCATTTACACCTGGGTCGGCAGCCACGATGGAACGTCAGCGTGCTCCCGGCCGGCGGGGGTGTGCGTTGGAACGGGTCAATTGGCGGTGGTGTGACAACGTCAGAACTAAGGCATGAGTGGGCTTGCCAGTGAAGTTGGTGACGCGATGTGACGTCAGCGCGAGCACCGGTCAGCGGCCCCGTGCCGGCAGAGCCACGTCAAATTGCGATGGCTTTGTATGGGCCATACCGAGCGGCTGTGATGTTCAGTTCACGAGCGGTCCTGCACTCGTAAGACGCGATGTTAAAGGGGGACCCTCCCACCTTCAAAAAAGTTAATGAATTGGCATGAAAGTAGCGACCGGCCAGGAAGTCTGGCAGATGATTACCCGCTGCGGCTTCCTGGTCTCCACACTGTGGCTAATTGGTGTTATGCCAGGCCGGCACAGCACGTCCCAATCGAGAGCTGTGTGCAGAATACCCGGATTTGCCGCCATGGCCTCTCGTGCTTTGGCGTCGGCGGCCCGAGTTTCGGCGAGGGGCCGGTTGGCGTAAGTACGCAGCAGCCACGCCATGTAACTTGTCAGCTGGAGCCCCGCCGCCGGGAAATGGTAGGCTCTGTGAGCCAGCAGTTCGGCTACCCGGGCCAAATAGTGGGCGGTGGTCGTCAGCGCGCCCCCTACTTCATCCCCCGAGTCGTCGACCGCGACGTAGCGGCCTCGGTGGCGGAGGTCCTGGGCGGCCTTGGTGCTGACCCCGGCTAGCTGGAGGGCGGGTACCGGCGGCTGCGCGTAGGACACTACCGGTAGCTGCTGGTGGTCTTGTGCGCGGTCCGCCGCCACCCCTCGCTCGCGTGCCTTTAGTTCTGCCGCGGCTACGCTCTCACTAGTCTCGCCGGCTGAGCGTCGGTACTCGTCATAGGGCTGGATCATTTGTGGGGGCAGCCCGTGCCCGGTGCTAGCTGCGCCGCTCGGCTGGGTCGCGGGGGTCGGGCGGTTGTAGGCCTGGGCCGTGGGTGTGGGGCCGACGCCGGCGAACTGTTCATTCCCGGGCGCCGGCCAGTTGGGCGCGCCCCCGGGCGCCGGCCAGTTGGACGCGCCTCCGGCCGCCGGCCAGTTGGGCGCGCCTCCAAGCGCCGGGTAGGCGGGGGTGTGTGCCGCGCCTCCCCATGAGGGCGGGGCCGCGGCGCCGGCCGTCGCCGGTCGGCACAGGGCAAGCCGGTGGGTCTCCGGCTCCGTGGGCCCGTGTTGTTGCTGGTATGTACCGGGGCCGGCTGGGGGCCCGCCGGCGCGTCAGCTCCGGTGGTCGTCTGGTGGGCGGGCATTGCTGTAGGGGGTCACGGGCCTGTCACGTCTGCCCAGGGGCCACCGATCGCGCTCCGCGCTGCGGTGTTGTCCGTTGGGGTGAGCGGTCGGAGTCCTGTAGGCCAGGATAACAGGCCGTCAGTTAGGGGCGTTGTTTGCAGTCCTGTGAGTGGGATGAAGGCGCTTAGGTCCACTGAGACGCCAGTATCGGGGGGGGGGGGCGTTGGCGACATGGCGGCCTCGCCGGGAACGTCACCAGCGGTATTATGGGTACGATAACGCTAGGGTGGCCGGTGCGGAGAGCGCGAAAACAACCCACGGTCAAACACCAGTCGGGCGGGAAAAGTAAACAATGGACGGTCAGGTGTCAACCGCACCACACGTTCGCCCACCGCCGTTCGACCCCGTGACCCCGTTCTTGCGGGCGGTGTGACGTCAGGACTGCTGGGCCAGGCCACGTGGTTAGCGTACGCGCGGTCACCTGATGCGTACGGGCCGTACGTGGTCGCATGCGGTGGTCAGCGTGCGTTCGATCCATTCGTGCGTACCGCTGTTTACCAGTGTATGTGAGCCGACAATGCTATGGGACGGGTCAGAGTTCCATTCGTGCAGACGGGCTGCCAGTTGCGATATATAGGGCCAGTCAGCGATTCATGCTTGCGAGCGCGTCGGTGTGAGCGTGCAGACCATTAGGCGGGGAGCCGTCAGCGCTCCGGCGGCCGTTCAGCGGCTGTCTGTGAGCGTGCAGACCAATTAGGCGGGGAGCAGTCGTGCGTGGAGCAATCAGCGCTCAGAGGGGCCGGTCAGTGCGTGGAGCGATCAGCGCTCAGCGGGGCCGGTCAGTGCGTGGAGCGATCAGCGCTCAGAGGGGCCTGTCAGTGCGTGGAGCGATCAGCGCTCAGAGGGGCGGTCAGTGCGTGGAGCGATCAGCGCTCAGAGGGAGGGGCCGGTCAGTGCGTGGAGCGATCAGCGCTCAGAGGGGCCGGTCAGTGCGTGGAGCGATCAGCGCTCAGAGGGGCCAGTCAGCGGCTACTCGAATAAGTACGGGCTGTCAGCGTGTGGAGCGATCAGCGTTCAGAGGGGCCGGTGATCAGGGCATGGAGCGACCAGCGCTCAGAGGGGCCGGTCAGTGCGTGGAGCGATCAGCGCTCAGAGGGGCCTGTCAGTGCGTGGAGCGATCAGCGCTCAGAGGGGCGGTCAGTGCGTGGAGCGATCAGCGCTCAGAGGGAGGGGCCGGTCAGTGCGTGGAGCGATCAGCGCTCAGAGGGGCCGGTCAGTGCGTGGAGCGATCAGCGCTCAGAGGGGCCGGTCAGTGCGTGGAGCGATCAGCGCTCAGAGGGGCCAGTCAGCGGCTACTCGAATAAGTACGGGCTGTCAGCGTGTGGAGCGATCAGCGCTCAGAGGGGCCGGTGATCAGGGCATGGAGCGACCAGCGCTCAGAGGGGCCGGTCAGTGCGTGGAGCGATCAGCGCTCAGGGGCCGGTCAGTGCGTGGAGCGATCAGCGCTCAGAGGGGCCGGTCAGTGCGTGGAGCGATCAGCGCTCAGAGGGGCCGGTCAGTGCGTGGAGCGATCAGCGCTCAGAGGGGCCAGTCAGTGCGTGGAGCGATCAGCGCTCAGAGGGGCCGGTCAGTGCGTGGAGCGATCAGCGCGCAGAGGGGCCGATCAGCGGCTACCCGAATAAGCATGGGCTGTCGGCGCATGGAGCGATCAGCGCTCAGAGGGGCCGCCTGGGCCGCGATGGTGGCCTAAACGACGGACAGGTAGTCGCGTGCGCCGGTGATATCTTACCGGTGATGGCGTATCCTAAGGCGGCGTGCTCCATCGTTGCACAGGCAGATACTGCACAGAAGGGAACTGCTTAACGCGGCACTTCGCTCTCCAATCTCCTCTCGCTGGTAGACTCTTCTGCGCGACGTCAAGCGCGAGACACACGCCCATGGAGACGGCGAGCTCTCGCCACGCACGACGCCCATCTGAGAGGTATTTACCGGGGATAACTGACCTGCACTGCTTAGGAGCACGTCACGTCTCGGCCTCCGGCAGTGTACCCCATGGGCGAGGCGGCTACAGAGGCCAGAGAGACGGAGACAAACACTTATGACACTGCAGGGTGCCGCCATATACATGGCCAGAGGGTACGTCACCGGTGCCGATGTAGATCGCAGGAACGTAGCGGCGTGCTTATCCCACGGAGGCAGACACTACAAAAAAAATCGAACCCGACGGACGCTCCTCTCGGCGCGCGGGGGCGCGCCTCCGCCGCGCGCGCCGAGCGCCCACGCACTGGGGAAGCGTCTCCCGTCCCCTCCCGTCCCGTCCGAGAGGGCCGCGCCGCCGGCGGGGCCGCCCCGGGCGGCGGCGCGGCTATTCGGAGGACCGTCTCGCCGCTGTCCGGCGCTAGCCCGTTAACGAACATTTGATTGACTTGGTTGATTCCCCAGGGGAGGACGTCTACATCGGCGTGCTGCCAATCTTCCATCTGTTCGGTATGTACATCAGCGCGCTGAAGGGACCGTACCTGGGCACCTCGTCTGTGCTACTCTCGCACTTCGAACCGCAACTCTTCCTGGACGCCATAAAGAAACACCAGGTGCGCATAATCCACCTGTCGGTCAGGGAAACAATCACCGTCGCCTAGTGCTGAGCTGAGGCAGCCGTTGAATCATTTAAACAGGCCGTTATTTCAGTTCCTTCCTCGCATAATGCATACCCTGTTGGTGATCATTTCACATTTTCCAGTACCTAGCGATTTGACAAGGATCGCTAGGATCGAAGGATCCTATCAAAGCTCAGTAGTGTGAGTTAGCTGAAATAAGGATGCAGTTTTTGTGGAGCATTTTCGGAATTTAGGGGTAAGTGCATAGCGGCAGGGGGCTGTCATCCCGAGCTTTCCTATGTGCCGGGCGCCCGACTGTTTAACATTACCCGTGACGTCACCGGTGCGTACACTTGTCAGCTCTGGCCTTCCCCGCAAGTTTGGCTTTGAATACGATTTTGAGGGTCACGGTTGTAAACAAGTTCCTTTCCGGAAACGTTCCTGAAACGCTGGAAACGTTGTCATCCTTTTATTTTCCGGAAATTGCTTCATTACTAATTTGCGCCTAAAATCACTTTAACCCTCGCCGGCACAGGGGGTGCACAGGTGATGCAACCCCCCTAAGGTTTTTCGCGAATAACTCGCGTAAAAAGCGGCCGATCGCGACGAAACTTTCAGTACCCTCGCATTAATCGATTGTACACCTACCCTGAAAATTTCATGACCCTGACCCAAACGACCTTTGACCTGTGACCTACTTCCGAGACCATGTTTGGCCGGAATCGCGATTCGGCGTATGTCGGCTCGCATTAGGCGCGCGTTTGCAAGCTTTTCGTGGTTTCAAACGTTCAAACATGTGATTTGTTGTTGCTCCCATGCATTAGGGTGGATGTCAAGGTCACCTGAAGGTCAGGTCAGGTCATTGGCCTTTGGTAACCTCGGTTCACTTTTTCGAGTTGTACATGTTTCTAGGCTAGTTTTTGGAGCTGATTTCGAATCTAGCAACCAGTTGAACATTTACGAAGTAGTTTTGGTGCCTTCGTAACATGTTACGAAGCTGTCAGAGGCGGTTGACACGTATTACGAATACCCGTCACGACCCCTATGGTTGACCTGACCTGACCTGACCCGACCTGGTCTGAATGCTTAAAGACATCATCTCTGATCAAAACTAACACGATATTCGCGATCAGCACCCCGGAGAACTCCATAGCAGCCACACTTTACGACTTTCTAACAGGTCCCGAATTTCCCGATTTTCGGGTCATTGACCTGACCTGGAAGGTCACCCGATGACCTAGGATCTTAAAATTGGATATCATCGGCTTCCTCTCGTGACGGGCAACACGCTCGTTTTTTCCGCGAAGCTCTAGCTCAATCAGGGGCCAATCGCGAGGGGGGGTCGTACCAATCCCCCCCTTGTGCCGTCGAATGACGCAAAATGGCCTGTGCCGGCGAGGGTTAAGCATAGGCTACTTCACGCTTTCCTAATTGCAAAGTGTTGCATTGTCCGCATGGTGAGGAGAACGCTAACCGGTCAGAACGGCGATGTGTTGTGAGGAGGGCGCCGACAGGTCAGGAGGGCGCTGTACGGTGATAAGGGCTGCGACAGATCTGGAGAACGCTGTCCGTGAAGAGGGCGCCGACAAGGCAGCAGGGCGCTGTATGGTGGGGAGAGCGCCAACAGGTCAGGAGGGCGCCCATGGTGAGGAGGATGCTGTACGATGAAAAGGGCACAATACGAGTGAAGAGGGCGCTGACAGGTCAGGAGGACACTGTATAAAGAGGAGGGCACGGACAAGGTGAGGAAGGCGATGTACGGTCAGGAGGGCGCCGACAGATCAGGAGGGCCGTCTACGGTGAAAAGGGCACCGACTTGTCAGGAGGGCGCTGAACGTAGAGGGCGCCGGTATGGAGGGCTTTGTATGGCTAGGAGGCCGCTATGCAGTGAGGAGGATGGCGACAGGTCAGTAGGGCACTGTACGGTGAGGAGGGCGCTATAATACGATAGGCGCTGCCAGGTCAGGAGGGCGCTGCCAGGTCAGGAGGGCGCTGACAAGTGTGGAGGGCGAGACAGATCAGGAGGATGCTGTGTGATAATGTCCATGAGGGCGCTAACTGGTCTGCCCGGAGGGCGCCGAATGTGAAGAGGGTGCCGACAGGCCAGAAGAGCGCTGAAGGGCGAGAAGGGCGCCGACAGATCAGAAGGGCGCCGAGCAGACAGAAGGGCGCTGAAGGTGAGCCGAGGGCGCTAGATGGTCAGGATATTGGGAGTGGATATCCGGCATTTCAGGATTGTGGGTGTATCTTCACCCACAAAGAGATATAAAATTGTAAATCTGGGCGCCAGCACCGCATGATGACGCCGCAATGGCTTACCGTCGAGGACGACTTGAGTGCTGGACACTGAAAAGGCGCCATCGGCGCACAGAATGATCGTGGAAGGCGCCATCCAGGGCGCCCTGGAAGGTGTATTTCCAGAGGGCGCCTGCTAGATTTGGGAGGGGCTAAAGCCCAGTGTGCCCCTCCCCCCTTGGCTGCGCCCCCGAGTCCTTTGTCTAGCGATTTTCGAAGTATGTATCGCGTCCGTAGGGGCCTTGGGACCTGCCGGTGACCACAGGGGCCTTATAAGGCGACCCGTAGGCCTCGACTCGGGGACCCGTAGGCCGTGTAGGTACGGCCTACGGGTCCCGAGTCATGTGGGCCATATCACCACAGGGCACCGCATCTTTTCGAGATAAATGACCGTTCTGAAGCGTGTCGCATTTTCCTGAGCATGATCTGGCGTTAAAATAATATTAAACGCCTGACGGCCCCTCTCCTGTCTGCGGCTGACAGCTTACTGACAAGCCACCTGGCGATCGCCAACTCAACCCTAATTACAACGTTGTCCGCTAGGTGGCGGGGTCATACAATCCCAGTCAGGACAAGGGATTCTCATGATTATTTTGCAATCATATTTTCCCCCTTTTTAAAGTCATTTAAAAGCGCTATTGCACAAGTAATTTTTCGATTAGTAGCGATTCCAGCCGCCGAATCAGGGTCCGGATGGAGCCAGGGAGCGTATGCTCCGGTGACGTCACCGTAGTGCTGCAGATTTGTAACATTAGCGAGCCCGGACGATCTTACCTAACTTATACGGCCTTGCATAGCGGGCTGGTACAATACCAAAGACAAAGTTGTGTTGACACGTCTTCAAGCATGAGTTGACAATAGGCGAGCATCATATTATTGTTCATTGTAGGCAAGCAATCCTGCAGTGTAATGATAGCCAGCAAGCAGCCTCTGTGTCTGCTGAGTTTGTGCTGCCGGCGCTGACCGGCTGGCCCCCGACCCCGGCAGCCCAGCCACCTTCACCTGGTGCCGCCTCTGGTCACGTTCCTCACAAACAGCCCAGACGTGGACACAACCACCCTCCAGTCGGTCAAGGTCGTCGTCTGCGCCGCGGCTCCGCTGGGGAAACAGCTTCAGAAACGGTTCTGCCAGAAAACAGACGGCAAATTTAATTTCATTGAAGGTAAGTTGCCAATAGCCGTTTCCACAACGGCCATCTGGTACACATTCGGTGCAGATTAGATCCAGACTTGGTGCAGATTTGGTGCAGATTTGGTCAAATTTCATTCAGCATGTTTCTGAAAAGTTATAATTTTGGGCTGTACAGATGCTTATATACCTCATTTTTTTATTATCAGACATTGTTTTCGATTAACCCGCGCGGGGCTGGGGTCTCCAGCCGAACGCGCGGGGCTGGGGGGGGGGGGGTAAATTTTACCCCCCTGTTATCTCCCGAACTAATGGTCCGATTTGGAAAATTCAAACGCCAATCGAAAGATCTCATCACGAACAACTAAAAACATGTTCTTAATTTTACGTTTGAGGTCAAGGTCAAGGTTAGGTCAAGGGTACAAATTGCAAGTTCCTACAGTATCGGCCTTGCACCGTAGTTGCCGAAGAATGGAGTCATGGACTGAGACTGATCGCCCAAAACGTGTTCTTAGGCTACCAAGACAATATTCGTTGCATACAATATCATTCAGAGGTGAAGGTCAAGGTCAGGTCAGGTCAGGTGAGGTCACCAAAAACAAAATATAGAAAAGGGCATGTGCGACACATGTTTTATGGGTCATTTTACTCATAGAATTCAATAGGCACACTCAATAAGTGATATGGACCACCTCTGGATGAATTTCAGGTCGACGTCAGGTCAAGGTCAGGTCAAGTGAGGTCAAATTTTGAAGTTGGTTGTTAAGGTCTAAAAAGGTGTCTATCTGATGCAGTTTTTCACGGCGAATCGAATGGTGCTATTTTTGTTTCCGTACGAGGTCTAGGACGTCCAAAAAAGTCATTTTTCAAAAATTTTCTGTGTCGTGACGTCATACAATTTTGAATAACTCCCACATTTTTGAACCGATTTTTCTAAAACTTGGTATGTAGGTGCACATAGACCACCTCTCTGACATATATTCCGGTTTTTTCGATACACTCAAAATTTTGGATTTTATAGTTATTTTCCCAAAAAAGTCGGTTTTTTTTTTTAAATTGGGTCAAAATCCAAATTTTTTAAAAAACCGAGATAGCCATTTGATAGACAAAGTAGAATTACCTATATCCTTTTTTGTTACGTCTTGATTTCTTTAAAAATGAAGATGTTAGCGGCGTTTGAACTTTGAACTTTTGCCGTTTTTGAGGCGAAAATGGCGAACATGACGTCACTAAAACGTCAATTTCTCAAAAAAAATCCAACGGATTTCGCTCAAATTTTCAGGGAACGTGTCAAATTGATGTAAGAAAAGGTACTGAAAGTTTGGCGGCGCTGCGCGCCGCCGTTTTTGAGATATTGCAAAAATTCGCGAGGGGGGGTAAATTGAGGGGGGTAAAATTTACCCCCCCAGCCCCGCGCGGGTTAAAACACTTTGATGCGAGGAAATTGATTGGTAAATAAATTTAGTGCAGATTTGGTCAAATTAGGTGCATTCGCCAGCCCAGATAGCCCGTCGTGAAAACGGCTAATACCTGCTAATGAGCATCGTTGCATTTACATTTTGCATTTATAGTTGCATTGCGCCTGGTCGCGGAAAGGGGTTGTTTGACCAGGACCGCACCTGGAGCCATGTGGTTTTCGCAAATATCTACATATAAAAAACGGCCGAGCCATGCCTTTTCATCTACACATGTTCAAGAAATTTCAGACCCAGTTCGCTCAGACGACCATATTTCAGAAAAGTCACAATGCTCGTCGTAGCTACACCTACAGAACGATCACTTTGAAAGCATCAGTGATTGGTAAGAGTGGCAAGATGCAGGGGCGGATCCAGGAAAACTCCAAGGGGAGGGTCATGAATCGAAGTGGTGCCCCTACCTATACCCAAAATTAAAAACTCAACGGATTTCGTCCACTTCATTTTGGTGGTGCCCCCATTTTCAGTTTTTTCTTTTTATTTTTTATTTTTAGTCAGTATCTTAACTCTTAGCCATAACCACATTTACCATTTTTTTTTTTTAGAAAATGAATATATTTTGGACACTGGAAATTGACCGTCGACTGATTTGATCATATAAGCATGAGCCCATCCATTCGGCATCGGCACAGCAACATCTTAAAGCGATCAACTGCCTACGTGTAGAGCAGAACGCATACAAAATTCACACTTTACATGAGCATTGAGCAGGCCACGGTCCGCTCAAATCCTGGACCTGCTGTTGAGAGTCGGACACGCGCACGCTCCGGGACAGCACAGGGAAGAGGACCGCGAGCGTGTCATGCGCAGCTCCTCTCGACAGCCGTCCGCAGGGGTCAGTGGTGGTGGGTGGTCCGGTGGGTCAGCCACTGAGTCCAGCGGCGGCCCCGCAGCAGACTCGTCATCCGGTGCCTCGATTGACGGAGTGCTCATGCTCGGGGTCAGCCTGGACGATGGCGTCGGTGACGGTCCCGGTCTGTTGGCCGCTGCTGGTTTAGCTGTGGCCAGCACGGAGGCAGCGTTGCCCCTTGCCACAGCGATTGAAACCCTTTGTGCCAGCCAGACTGTTTCTCGTTTGTCCCCGGTGCGGCACGTCAGCCGACGGCCAAGCTCCTTCATGAGACCTGTGGCCGCCGGACCCAGGACACCAGAAGTCTCAACCGCAAAAGGAATGAACACATATCTCTCACGGAGAGCGGCATAGCGGGCGCGCTTGCGTTCTTCTGCACAGCGGGCGGCGCTGCCGGGATTTAAGGCAGAGCTGATGACGGCAGTTGCTGAGAAGGTGTCACAGCAGGTGGCGTCCCATATAAGGCTCATTCCTCGGCTGAAAGGGAAGAGCGTTATCATTAGTAAGCGTTTACCAATTGTAAGCAAGTATATATGAATGTGCTATGTGTATATGTTACAGGCAATGTGTGGAATCAGGCATTCTATAGAATGCCTAGGCATTCTATAGAATGCCTGACCGACCAGGCATTCTATAGAATCCCTAGGTATTCTATAGAATCCCTGACTGCTTAGGCATTCTATAGCATGCCTGGCTTAAGCTCCCAGGCATTCTATAGAATGCATAAGTATTTTGATTGTCCGAAACACACTTCGAAAATTAGGGGTCAGTGGCAGTAATGCTATTTGTTTACCTAATTTTCAGACCATTTCAGGGCAATGAGTTGAGAGGAAGCGAGGGAGAAATTGGGCTATGCCGACCACCAAATTGTGCGCCGCAAGCAGCAACTGATCCAATCCCGTTGGCACGCGAGAGCCACGGCGCAAGGCACGCGGGAGAGCCACAGGCCAACCAGTCGCTTCAACGGTTACCCTCGGAGGATTATGCTGCTACAGATACGAAGCTGCATTAGAAGAGTGTTGGCTGGGAGGGTGGACCGTAGGCTTGAATCGAAAGTGATTGCGAATGACGATGGCTTTGTTCTGATATTAGAAATGAAGGTGAAGAATACACCAAAGGTCACATTTTATGTCGTCATATAAGCACTTCGTGTAACGACTCTCAATATACATGGACAATGGACAGCTCAACCCACACTGTAATGGCAGGGAATAACCTGAATAAATGGTTCATTATTCCACGTCCGGGCGGTGGCCCGGCCGTAACAAGAGCCGGATTAGGTGTTGTTCGATCTCCCCTTCCAGCTTGACTTCTGGGCCATGCAGCATTCGAAAGGTCGTCAAAATTATGAAATTTTACTCCAGTTCTTCTTTGGCAATGTTCGAAAGGATGCCATATCTAAAACAAATAGCTAAGCCATTTTTGGGTCAGGCCAATTTTTGTCCATTTTTGGCTCGTATCCGTTTTTTTCCAGTTTGACCTTAAATCAATTCCTTAGAAGGCAAACACCTCCAAAAATGGACGATTTGTCAAACTGTTTTCTGTGTAATTTTTTTTTACCAAAGGCGTTTCCGATATTGACATTACCACCATCGTCTTTCTAGCGTTAAGATAAATACTCTGTACTCTCAGAATGAAATCCTGATACAATTTGACCTAATAAGGGATCAGATTGAATACCTGACCGGAAAATTTGACTGAATGAACATGAATGACTGAATGAACATTTGACTGAATGAACATAAATAGCTGACCGCAAGGTATAGCCTGGCAGAAAATAGTAATGGTACATGTCGGTCTGTGCTCATAACCTTATACAACATACACTGATATGTTGGAAAGATTCGTGTATTTCCTAGGCATTCTATAGAATGCCTGAAAATCAGGCATTCTATAGAATGCCTAGGGATTCTATAGAATACATGGTGGGTCAGGCATTCTATAGAATACCTAGGGATTCTATAGAATGCCTGGTCGGTCAGGCATTCTATAGAATGCCTAGGCATTCTATAGAATGCCTGATTCCACACATTGCCTGTAACATATATATGTTGTGGACGCTGAGTAGTGACTTGAGTACTTACGAGGAACGTTATCAGGTAAGCAAATCGTTGTCAGTCCGACGAACTTGACCCTGGCGTCTAAAGGGTCTGTCCTTGACACTTCAGGCTTGTCAGGGGCACCAAAGTCCTTCCAGGGACACCACAAACCTGTCAGGGGCACCTACGGCCTTGTAGGGGCGCCACAGGCCCGCCAGGAAGCAGGGGCACCACAGGCCTAGCAAGTATACACGACAGGCCTGTCAGGGGCACAACGGGCCTGTTGGGCCCATGAGCACCCCTAGGGGCAGGGGCACCACAGTCCTTCCAGGGGCACCGCAGGCCTGTGAGGGGCACCAGCGGCCTAGCTGGGGCACCAGTCAACACAGGCCTGCCAGGGACACCACAGACCTGCCAGGGGCACCAGAGGCCTTGCCAGGAGCACCACCGACCTCGCAGGGGTAACTTGGGCCTGTCAGGGCCCAGGGGCACCACGGGCCTGTCGAGAGGCGCTTCAGGCTTTTCAGGGGCACCATAGTCCTCTCCGGGCGCAGGGGTAGCAGGGGCACCAGAGGCCTGCCAGGGGCACTACAGGCCTAGCAAGGGCACCACTGGTCTATCAGGGGCACCACGAGCCTGTCATAGCCAGGCATCTCAGGCTTGTCAAGGC